GGCGACATTACAAGCATTTGCCTGAGATGCAGTGTCCATCATTCCGTTATAGTGCGAAGACTTAGGTTCAGAATTAAAAAATACAGAATCATTATTAAAAGAGGACAAAAGTCCTAGATCTCCCATTATTCGCTGGGTAACTTGGTTGAGGACATCTTCCACACTTGCCAACAATGGATAACCTCCATGCTGTCCAGGTTGTTGTTTCTTAAAAATCCTTTTCAGAACTCTTTTCTGAATCTCATTTTCAGTCAAGGCTATCTGAACAGTTATGATCTTGAGGAGATCGTTCATGACTTCGTGGGCAGAAGCATTTTCTTCTTGGGGGAGGAGATTTTGACAAGAAAGCATCTCCCGTTCCAGGTCCTTCTGAATTACTTTAACAATGGTGCAAGTCAGTTTTTCAGCACAGAGCTTTAAATTATATTGAGAGTCCTGAACTGCTAATTTTGCTTTATCGCAGTGGTTGCCTGTTCTGACCTCTGTGGTTTTTTGTGCACTTGATGTTGCATATCCACTTTCAAGACGCGATGGCTTTACTTGCTTAGCAGCCATTCCCAGTTCAGATTCTAGTTTACCTTCCACAAACATTTCCAGTCTGAGGAAGACATTATCAACTAAATATTTTGCTATGCCTTCAGGAGAAAAGTCTTTTATATCTGGAAGCTGCTTAGCGCTAAATTCCGCCAGCTTTCTGCCAGATGTTTTTTCAGCTTTTGAGACGCCAGGGACTTGATGCTTACTTCTTTTGAGATCTGGAAAACGACTCTTGTGCCCAGCCTTGGATCCACGTTCTTTCAATTGTGCCAGAGGCTCTACTGTCTTCTGCACAAAATCATAGAGGAGAGACTGGAGATGAGATGAAAGCGACCCCTTCATATTTAGAACAGCTGCAAGACCAGAACTAAGATCTTCAAACACAATATCTACCAAGTCATTGGAAACCAGCGAAGCATCAGATTTCACCCCAGCTGGGGTGGACAATGATTTTTTTGTGCTGCCATCTGCAGCCTTGGGAAACTGTAATTCCCCCGTTCCAGAATTGTCCATATCTAACATTATCGTCTGAAAGATTTCATTTAAAAGAGTTTCCACTGTGTTTTGGATTTGGGTCTGAAGATCTCTTTTATAGGTAGGGTTTTTCCTGAAAACTTTTTCCAATACACTTTCTTGCCGTGGTAAAGAAGTCTTTTCTTCAGAAATATGTTCCTGGGGGGCAAAAATAGTCAAAACCATGCTGACAATTTGGATAGCAGCTATGCTTTCAGAGAATATAACGGGAGGAGTTGAAATTTTATCCACTTCCTTATCCAGCTCGTGCTTTATATTTTTCAAAATCAACCTAGCCACATCACTGGCATATGATTTTAAATCTGAGAAAGACAATGATACTGCCTGTTCTGGTTTTTCTTTTGCAGCTAAAATAGAATTATTGTAGGAGTTAAAAATATCCTCTAAACAATTAGGCAAATTACCATGTTGACTGGCTAGGATTCTTTTGAATTCTTCTTGTAAAGCTGAGGAAAAGTCTGAACTAATAGACATTTTTAAGTTTTGCACATCCAAGCATAACTGAGATTCCACTTTGGATATGACAAAGGATTCCAGTTTTGCTATAAAAATTTGCACTAAATCATTAACCAGATCTGACTTAGATGGATGTTCAGGCTGACTAATGTGCATTGGTTCATGCATGGTTTCTCTGTTACTCTGCACTTCTTGTGGAAATTCTGACTCAAAGGACTCCTCGGGGTCTCTGAAATGCACCGTTGGTAGGCTTTTGCAAGCTTCTCTGGGCACACTTAGAGGAAGAATGTCAGTGAAAACGAGGCTAGATTGCCTGTTCTTGATGTCTTGCATGTCAGTTTGAGCAATGCGGGAAAGAACTTGGAACACAGTTTTTACCAGATCGTTTGTAAAAGCATGTACTTCTACGTCAGAGATTAGAATCTGACCAATGATTTCACTTTGTCCTTTGGAGGCAGGTTGCCCCTCTGCCTGTTGCCTGCTCATGTTCACTTGGGTAAGAGATGAAGGAGAAGCACTGGGGGGGCAGACTGTTTGCTCTGCCCAAACATGCTGGAATGTTTCCTTTAAAAGATTCTGCACCATTTCAATGATTGGCAACTGCTCTTCCCCTTTGAAGTCTTCTTCTATTTGTTTCATGGCCTGCTCTAAAGTCCATTCAGGAGCTGTCGTCCCTTGTCTTGTCTTTGACGCTGGGTCAGCGGAAAGTGTAGCGGTTTCCGGACTTTCCAAAGAACAAAAAATGGCATTTTGTACAAGAGTGTCCAAGGTACTTTCTGTCTTCTCTAGATATTTTCTAGTATCGTTGTCCAGAAATTCCCCATCATCCTGCAAAGCAGATTTGGGGTGAGACCTGCTTCTTTGTCGTGGCTCAAGACCAAAACCTTCATACGCAAGCTTTTGAGCCTTGTTGGTTTTTAATTTCCCATCCTGATGCCGCTTATCTTTTTCTTCCTGTTCAGCTTCAGAGTAAATTACCATGCCAGGAACATTAACAGGAGGAAATGGTTTTCTTGTATTTTTCTCAGTTGTAAAGAGTGTTTTCATGGTCACCTCAGAAGCTTTGTGGCTAGGAGGCTCTCGTTGTATTTTGGGGCAAGAGCTGGGTTTTGCTGATGGAGAGAGAATCCTCAGTTTTTCAGTACTTAGATCATTGAATACATCGTTAATGATCTGGATGATAACTGAGCTCTCTCTGGATGGAACCATTCCTTCTTGGCTCACCTGACGCTGGATGTAGCTTAGGATGCTGCCAATCATCTCTTCCACATATTGAAGGATGTTTGTCTCTGAAGAAGCAACCGTTTTGGAAACTATCTTACGGATTGTGTCTTTCACAATGGCATTTGCTGCTTCAGATTCTGCTGAGTGTGGTGGAACGGCTGCATATAGCTGTTCAAGTGGTATGCCGATTGCTTTGATTTTAGAAAAGAGTTCAAACTGGGACACTTTTGTTTGGCTCGACAAAGCAAAGACCTTCAGTTTGTCAATAATAATCTGAACAATCTCCTCAGCAATGCCCAGCATAGACTCAAAGGACAGGGGCATCTGAGCCCTCCAAAAGGTTGGATCCGGGTCAGGATATTTCTCAGTGGTTGCCAGGCACATCGCTTTCCATTCTGTGGAGAAGTCATCTCTGGAAATGGTTTCGAAATATTTCTTCTGAGCGATGCCGTGTAGTTTACTGAGCACATTTTCAACAATATCATTGGCGACAAAACTGGCCACCCTTGAAACCGAACCAGCAACTGGTGGCTCGGCAGAATGGCTGCCTAGTAAGCTATCTGATATGGACTCAAGAAGGACTTCCATTGAAATAGAGACAGAACAAGCTGTACATCCCAGGTCACCTAATATTTTTTTGAAAGTGTCATCCAGAATCACTGCAGTAACTTTGGCAAGAGGCAACTTCAGGTCACTGAAAATAGTCTTAAGGTCCTTCACGTCGATGGTCTCCCTTTGGCGAGTAGAGCAGTCTGGTGGCTTCTGTTCCCCTCCAGTAGATGGCAATTCTTCTGAATCAGTGGTCACAGTCGTTTCAGTTTTACAAAGGAGCCCTTTTGACATTCTGTGCTTTGGTTTGCTGTGGTATAAAGTACTAACATTTTCTGGATCATCTGTAGAACTTTTCTGCATCTGGGAGAGATGGCTATCTGATTTCGAACTCTTCATGCTTGGTGTGGTAGACAGAAGACCATTGTCTTTAGATGGAGAGAAAAAAATGGCTGTTTTTCCTCTCTTAAATTTCCCCTTAAGGATTTCACTATCTAGAGACAGGTGGGTGCTCTTGGTAAAAGAGGTAAAGGAAGACTTAGAGGAGAGCAAAGAGGTTGAGACTGGTTTCCCACTTGTAGAATGGAATTCACTTGGAGAGCTGGTGGTAGGTTTCATACTTGTGTTAGTAAAGCTGACTTTCCTACTGGCAAAGGCTGGGAGGCCCCCATAACTTTCACAAAGGTCTTCATTGCAACTGGTACAGCTGCTGGAGTTCTCTGAAGATACTACAGACTCCTCAGAGATTGTGTACACCCGTGTCCTGACCCTCTCTTCAAATTTGGTCAGAGCGGGATAGAGGATACTTGTGACTGCTGAAACTACCCACGTCATGATGTTCTGGATGATGTTATTCAGTTCCGAAGAAGATACCTAATAAGAAGAGAAGAAGTGTTATATAACAGGCAAAAAACCTGCACGTAACTCCAAATAAGGAGCTTTGGGGGAAGGACATACATCTATACCATCTCCTCTGCATTTCTGCTGAACCAATAGTTCTCTATGCATGTTCAACCTTGATCTATATCAAGGACAAATAGGTAGACCTTGACTTATGACTGGTTCCAAGGTATGATGGATCCCTGAAAATTACAACCCAAGTTTGAAGTTATGATGGCTGCATCTGCCCCATGGTCATGTGATCGCATTTTGGATGCTTGGAAACCAGCTCACCTTTACCTTGCTACATCCCCAAGGTTACGTGACTGTGATTTTTGATGGTTTTTGCTGGTTCCCGGCATTTACTTCTGGTTTCAGACATACAAACAAAAAAACCCATTGGATGCAATAGATTGGTTTAATGAACATTGTGTTCACTTACTGACCAATGCAAAAAATCATAAAATCAGGTCCAGTCACATGGTGATCTTCTTAACAACTACAATAATTTACAATTGTAATTCTGGATTCAATTACAATCATAAGTTAAGAACTATTTGTACAGGCTATTAGTGATTAGATCTCCAAAATTCATTTTTAATCATCCAGGTGGAAGAAACTTTGAATGGAGTTGCACCAGACAGATGGGATATTTAATCCTTTTATTATTTTAGCAATCAAAATCCTATTTTCTACATCCTGGCTGTTAGACCCACTGCTGGAGAAAAACACTTGGTGCTTATAAAAATTATATATTTATTTGATTTTTATAACCACCCATCTCACATTGATTCATTGATTCATTGATTCATTGATTCATTCATTCATTGATTCATTCTTAAATTTATATGCTACCCATCTGACTATCCAAAGCGACTCTAGACAGCTTTTACATTATAAGTGGCTTTAAATTTCAATTAGCAATAATCGTGTCTGGGATAAACCTCGCTAGCTACGATACTGCTGCTGTGCAAAACCTAGTGTCTTTAAATTAAACAAATAAAAACACAACATGCACAATATAAAATAAAAATAAAAATACATTAACAGCCAGGCATGGTCTAACTCTAACCTATCCACCCATACAGTAGGATAAATTGGGGCTGCACAGCATGTTTAACCAGCTTATTCGACAAATGGTTAATTCACAAGAATTAACTATTCTTTGCTAGAATTCACTTTGGTTAGGTCTTTTATGGGTTCCAGCACAAGCCTACCTAACTGTACCATAAAGATTTGTTTATTTATCATTATTTGATGTTAGCTTTTTGCCAAATTCTGGGTGATTCATGCCAATAACTTTCAATAAAGCCTCCCCACAATATAATCAATATCAAAATTATTGGAACATATGATTGGAGAACTGAATGACTGGAGAAGAATGGTAACCTCTCTGAAAATGTTGACTAAGCATAAGCCAATTCATATTTCCGCAAATGGCAATCTCCATTCTTCCTCCACAGAAAGTAGTCAGTTGTGAATTACTTATATATAAGGTTCACATTTAAAAATAATGTTACTGATTGGAATTCTTGTGTTGTCCCTGAATCTTAGCAACTTTAAGATGTGTGGACTTCAAGTTCCAGAATTCTCCAGCAAGTTGGCTGAAGAATTCTGGGACCTGAAGTCCATACATCTTAAAGTTGCCAAGGTTGAGAAATACTGCCTTAATCTCTTCTTAATCAATCTAAATAATCAAACCTTTGAATGACCTCTTTCCTGGCTTACTCATTTCCATTTCAGTTTTTTGTTATTATTTTAACAGTGTTCACCCAATACCTAAAAACATAATACCATAGCCTCCAGGGGCAAAATAAAAGTCAATATTCCATCAATCTTACCATCAGTGGTGAAATCGATTTTTTTTTACTACCGGTTCTGTGAACATGACTTGGTGGGCATGGCAGGAGAAGTATACTGCAAAATCTCCATTTCCATCCCACTCCAGGGGAAGGATACTGCAAAATCCCCATTCCCTCCCCACTCCTGAGGGAAGGATACTGCAAAATCCCCATTCCCACCCCACTCTGGGGCCAACCAGAGATGGTATTTGCTGGTTCTCCGAACTACTCAAAATTTCCGCTACCAGTTCTCCAAACTGCTCAAAATTTCCGCTACCAGTTCTCCAGAACCTGTCAGAACCTGCTGGATTTCATCCCTGCTTACCATCCAAAAAGATTCAACAAAATAAATAATTTTCATTTGCTCCCAGAGGTCCATTAAGGAGGCAGCCATTCTCCACTCAGGAATATGAGGGAAAAAGGGTTGACGCAGCTATGGAGAAAGCTTGATTGTATGCTGCTGGTCTCTCAGTGATCGGGATTTAAAGAGGAAAGCCTCTTAATTTTCTTTTTGACTTCAAATCTGGACCAGATACACAGTCCTACTTACATGATGTTAGAAATCAGGCAATTTAATTAACACACTCTGCAAAGCCAAAATTGAGTAACTCGGTTAAACATGTATAAATGCGATCACGTTATACCTGCATGTTTCCCCATATGCAGAAGTTTTATTTGGGATAAAATTGGGGATAACCAGCAAACAGAGTTCCCATGTCTAATTACACTTTTATTAACATTTAGGTTCTCTATGGTTCTGAATCAGATGGATTTGGATAGCAATAGCAATAGCACTTATAGACTTATTTACCACTTCAGAGTGCTTTACAGCTTTCTCTAAGTCAGGGGTGTCAAACTCGCAGCCCCCGGGCTGGATGCATCATGCGCTGGCCACGCCCACCCCCGATTTAGTGAAGGGGGGGAAGTTGTGATACGTCACGTGATAATGTGACTCCACAAGTTTGACACTCCTGCTCTATGTGGTTTACAGAGTCAGCATATTGCCCCCAACAATTTTGGTCCTCATTTTACCAATCTCAGAAGGATAGAAAGCTGAGTCAACCCTGAGACAGTGAGAGTCGAGCTGCTGGCGATTGGCAGAATTAGCCTGCAATGCTGCATTCTAACCACTGTGCCATCACGGCTCTTACAAGTACACAGTCCCCTCAAATGTAAGAATGATTAACAGAGTGACCTACTTTTCCCTTGAGGCTCTCTCGAAGTGCTGATTGATCTCTGAAAGCAAAAAGTGATGGGGAGGGTCAATGAAAGATTGTGGAGCAAGCTATTACACCCATACACACAGAGACAGAGATACAGATACAGATATACAGGTACACATACATACAGGAATATAGTACCTCCAATGAACAACCTGGCAACATTCTTCTGATCCAGAATGATAAAGGAAACTTATTGGGAATTCTGGAGATTGCGGTTCAGCAATACAAGGGTTAGAAATGGATCTTTTAGGATGTCTGAGACTTACGAAGTAGAAAGCAAGCGCTGAAGATAAGCTGAGTAAGATGACTCACATTCCTCATTGTCCTGAAATTTTGTAGTCATGTGCTCTGAAAGAAGGTGAATACCAGCATTAACCTGCTGTATAGCAATCTAATTAATGAAGGGAGCCTTGAAATGCCAATGTTCCCCTCAAAACTCAACTGAATGTCAGATAAGGGAAGCCCACTAAGTCAGACATGGGATTTTGATTCGTAAATAGACTAGTCTAACATCTAACTTTTGAAATTGAACACCCTGGAAAATGCTCAAGGATGCCTTGTTCTCTTCTGCTCACCGTCCCAAATGGGATTATTATTATTTGATGGAATATATCTAGTTGATGGCCCATTCTGTCAATAAAATGTTTTAATTTCAGAATGGAAACTAAGCCTGAATTATTTTCACTATTTTACCCATCAGGATGCCACAGGCACTTCTGTACAAGTCTGCAGTGCTTTTGATAGCTCATCAAAAACATGGCTAATAAGTGATATTTTAATCAATCAGGGGTAAACTGCTGGCTAGAAACTGTCTCAGCCTTTCCTTTTAGTTCCCCACAAAAGCCAGTTTCTCTTTCCCCAAAAGCAGGGAAAGCAAAACTCATCTGTCCACCATATTGGCCTATCTCCTGGCCTCACAATCCTGCATTTTGGCTCTTTGGCCCAATTTTATCATTTGCTACTATACTGAAAAATCAGGAGTTGGCCATCAAGCAATCCTTCCAATGGCTGCACAGATAGATAAAATGTAAAACCCCCTGATGGAAGTGGAAAGTCCCCCTAAAAGCCCACCAAAAGGGACACAAGCAAGATAGAAAGGACGAATCAATGGCATTCACTGGTGACTAATACATATCTAGCACAGGTAGACCTCGAGTTACAACAGTTCGTTTAGTGACCATTCAAAGTTACAACGGCACCGAAAAAAGTGAATTATAACCATTTTTTTCATACTTACGACCTTTGCAGTATCCCCATGGTCACATGATCAAAATTCATACATTTGGCAACTGACTCCTATTTATGATGGTAGCGGTGTCCTGAGGTCATGTCAGGGGTGGGTTCTACTTGCCTATACTACTGGTTCGCAACGGAATTGCGTGCGCACACTTGCTTCGCTCGCGCACGTGCCTTGCTTTTGCACATGCGCAGAAGCTTTTGCACATGCGCAGATCGCTGATGATGACATGCGGGGCGGTGAGCGGGGCTTCCCGCCGGTTTTACTACCAGTTCTTGCGAACTGGTCTGAACCGTGGGCAACCCACCACTGGGTCATGTATGTGATCACCTTTTGCAACTTTCTGACAAGCAAAGTCCATGGGGAAGCCAGATTCACTTAACAACCATGTTGCTAACTTAACAACTGCAGTGATTCACTTAACAACTGGAGCAAGAAAGATTGTAAAATGGGGCAAAATTCACTTAACAACTATCTCACTTTAGCAATAGAAATTTTGGGCTCGATTGCGGTCGTATGTTGAGGAGTACCTATAATGCCCTTCATGACGCAGGAAAGATAGTCCTACATTTACAGTAATTTTCACAGAAGGCTCCTTTCAGAGAAAGGCTCGTTGGAGTGAATTCTTTTGTTTTGTAAAAAAAGGAGATTATTTGCATGTGGAAAGCCTGATATTAAATGTTCAGCTGCTGCAGCAGGCCTAAAAAAGTGTGAACTAGTTACATCTAGTGGGGAAACATTTTGGCCCTTACCTGTTTTCCCCTTATTAAGTCGTCTCTTCTTCTCTGAGTGTCTTTCGCGTGGTTGACTTTCTGGCTCATTCTAGAAAAATTAAAAAAGGATTTTCTTAAAAATGTTATCAGTGTTTTGCATGCAATGGTCAGTCAGCCCAGAGTTTAAACTACTCCTTGTAGTCTACCTGCTATCTATTCAGGCCCTCCCTCAGCCCAAGCATAACCCCTCAGCTTTTTCAAGTCCAAGGGGCCTCCCACCGACCAGTACGCTCCCACAGAGAGGGGCTCCTCAGGGTGCCATCGGTCAAACAATGCCGACTGGCGGCCCCCAGGGGGAGAGCCTTCTCTGTGGGGGCACCTACCTTCTGGAATGAGCTGCCCCCAGAGATACGGCGGATCCCGGATCTACGCACCTTTCGCCGTGCCCTAAAGACGTTTTTACTCCAACAAGCCGGGCTGGCCTAACTCTTTTAAATTTTTAAACTGTTTAATTATGGGTTTTAATACAGGGGTGCTTTTAATTGTGGGCCAAATTAATTTAATCGGATTTTAATACTGTTTTTAAATTTTGTATTTCTTGTGTTTTATCTGTTGGCTGTTGACCGCCCCGAGTCCTTCGGGAGAAGGGCGGTATATAAATATAAACAATAAATAAATAAACAAACAAACAAACAAACAAATAAATATTATACCATTAAAGTGGTTTTCTTCTTTTGCTTCACTTTACAAGAGCCTTCGTTAGCAGCATGATGAGAGGCTGCTGAATACATGGATGCTTTGCCTGACGGCTTTGACGAAGTTCGGTGAGATGGATTTCCTCCTAGTATGCATGAAAAACAGCAATAACTTGCATTTGCAAATGCCCAGAACTCAAATTTCATAATCACCGAACTATATTACTCCAATGCAACAAATCATAGGATGGCACAGGCCAACAGAGCAT